CCCAAAATATTTGAACACGGCGTCTGCGCAGATCCGTGCGCAATCAAGTACGCATGCGCGCGACCCACGGAGTTCTCCGAATGCATCTCCTGAATCAACCCTCGAGATGATCAGTGACGAGGCGCGCCGCGCTCCAGCCGGACGTTGTTTTTTCTTCTATTACTATTTTTCATCCGTTTCTTGGACTTCTTCCCCTCTCTCTTTCTCTCCCTCTTTCTTCTTCGATATATTACTTTTCCCCGTAATCGAAAATCATTGGTATTCTGCATCGGATAGAACGTGTCGAGGAAACTTCTGATGGTGTGACATACGAAATTCGTGCAAAATCGACGCGTTTATATCAAGGTGAAAAATGATCGATACGACGTGTTCGTGGTAAAAAATTTCAACTCGTTGATCGTTAATAAGAGAGAGAGATACATATATATATATATCGAGAAGATGAAGATCAAGGAGGAAAATCATTATGCGAAACGAAGCATCGAATATTTCGGTAACGTTGATTTTATATGTTATTATTTAATTAACGAATTATTTAGAAAATTTAAGATGCTCTTATTCAGCAATTAGATAATTAAAAATATATACAATCAAATTTATCCCAAATTAATATATATTGTTGGTTCTGGGTCATGAACGACTGTTAACAGAAATTAATAATCGCATATTTCGATCGAAGAAAAAATTCTTTGGGCCCATAAACGAGCCCAACACAGTATTGTTTACAAATGTGTTCCAGTGTTCCATATATCGTTTTAAGGTTTAAAAATGCGAAGAGCCGACATCGTGCGCGACAATAGTCCGATTAAAAATTTTAATGAACCCCCTATGACGTTGGTATATCCGATACGTCGAACAATATCTATATCCATCACTTTCGAACACCATTAACCATGAATTTTTCAATCAATTTCAACAAAATTTGGAAATTTTGTATCGACTCGCTGTATTTTCGTACGTTCGTTTTTCACGACGAAAAGTGCAAGCAACTCGTGACACAACAAGGATACGAAGGCGACAAGGGGTGGTGAAATCCGAGGAATCGAATCGATGAAAATTATTTATAAAGCGTCCTTCGAGAATTCCCCTGCGGCGAAGGAGGAGGGGGACAATTTCGTGCATTCGAAAGCGCCTGTTGTCGTCCTGTTGCGCCCCGATGCGCAGGATATGCAGTATATGCTAATCGTATGCGGGGCCTCGCGCGCCGCGCCGAATACAAATGGTCAACCATCTGCCACCATCTTGGAGCCAACCGTCCTAGCCTTCTTTCCCTCCCCTCGCCAACCGTCCTGCCACCAACTTGACACGTTTGAACGGAACTTTTCTCCAACGGTAGACACCGTACTATCTGCTGGATATCATTTGATCGGAAAAATTTGAATATTAATCCTTTTCGTTCCAGCTGAATTCCTTAGCTTAACTCAATATGATTTCACGCGCAAATTAAAACTTTTATATTTTAATATCTTACGTATCGTTGCGTGTAAAGAAATTTATGTCGAATATTAAAGTCTATATCGTTGTTGTGTTTCGTGCGATATTTTAATAAAGTAATTACCAAGATGCATCCTCGGGGTCAGGGCAAGTATCACGATAAAATGTCGTTATGAATATTACATCTTTATTTTTATTGCCTTTATTCTCCTTCTCTCTGTCATCAATTTCTTAACGAATAAAAGTAATTTCGTTATTCAACAACGAAAAATCAAAAATCATCTTCGAACTAATTTCATTCCATGCTTGCAATACTCGAGAACATTGAAAATAATATTTCTATCGCGACGAGTGGATCAAACTTCGATCCGTGATCTAATTTGGGATATATATATATATAATAAAAAAATCTAACCTTTCGACGGTACATTATTCCACGCTTCATAAGATTATGCTTAAAAGCGTAAAAGGGCTTAAAAGTCTATTCGTGAAGCGATATTTTAAAAAAAACCAAACGTAAACAAACTTCGTCGCCGTTCGATCCGAGTGGTGCCTGAAAGTCACCTCTGGAGTTATCGCATCTAACCGAGCCACCGTTGGAGCGTAAAAGGACACTTTATTATTATATCCCCATTCCCGAATATATGTATATGTGTATATATATAAATATATATCGTTAATAAGAGAGAGATACATATATATATATATATACACACACACACACACACGACTTTTCACCAGTATGTGTATTCCATATTATTTCTATCAAGTCAAATAACTGAAAAACGAAAGATCTACAAAAAAAAAAAAAAAATAATCGCAAAAATATCTTCGTATTTTTCATCCCTTGGCAACAAAACAAACGAAGATGCGCGATTTCATATTCCGCTCCCATCGTCCGTCATAATTATATGGGCATCGTCTAATTTCTGAGTCCGTACGTGAAAACAATGACGCGAACGAAAGTAGGGAGGAAAGGGAGAGGGGAACGGTTCGAATTCGACGATGGTCATTCCACGGTGTCGAATCCGAACCGACGGTCAGTCGTCGACGATAAATCGAAGGTGATCGTTCGACACTTCGTATTTCTCCTCGTCCAACCTTGCTCGGATTCACGATTCTCTCGTCTGCTCTTTTCGTTCTTTCACTCTCGTCCTCACCCTCCCCTTCCTCTTTTCATTTGTTTTCATTCGTCGTCGAGAGCAAGAAATGAAAGGAGAGGATGGGTGGTAAATACGGTGGCGAATAACTCGAGGAGACGATTTTGGGAACGAAAGGTGATAGTGGTGGTGGTGGTGGTGGTGGTGGTTGATTGGTTGGTAGGGCGCGAAGAAGAGTGAAAAGTTTGCCCCGCAGAAAAATATGGCGAACACGTGCGAAACGCCTCGGTCACGGCGACGAAATCGGCCTACCTTCTTGGATTTGTCCAACGTCACCCGTGAGTCTCTTCATTTTGCTCTTAATCTTGCTTTCCAGTTTTTCCACTCTTTTTTTACTAGAGAGAGAGAGAGAGAGATAAGAAGTTGCACGGTTTTTTCTCTCTCTCTTTCTCTTGCAAGTATTTTGAATAATGTTTTATAGCCGTGGCTGATCAAGATTAGATATGTATACGCTTCTCATGAATTTAAAGGAGGCTGGGAAAATATTTCAATCTTTCTTATTATCGATATTAATTCGATTAGAATTTTGAAAGATTCTTATTCTTCTCGTTGGAAAGGAGCTGTGAATCGAGCAGCAATCGAAGAAAAAAAAAATCTTGCTCCCCATACTTAGCTCTCCAAGGCGGCCATATTAGTGGCACTTGCGTTCGCTACGTGACGCGCGTGGCTTCCGTTTTCGGCATATCCGGCCTTCCACCGAATTAATAGTCGCGAACGATTAAAATCGTGGGCCGTTATTGTGCGCAAGAAGCAGCCACTCTTCTCACGAACAGGAAGCGTATATAACGGATATATTTCGGGAAATATAACGAATATAAATGTATCGCTCGTTATGATTCGATTTATTTTGTAATAAAAGGAAGAAAAAATAAATAAAGAAATAATATCAATCTTAAACGTATCTCTTAATACAAATCTCTTTGCCCGAGCTATTCTTCTTCCACGCGAGATCTCTTTGAATTACTTCGCCCACCCACGCCTCATTTTCACTCGTTCGTTCATTTAATCCTTTTTCAGAACGAAAATGAGAAACGTTATTCGAATAATTTTTAATATTCAAATATTCGACGATCTTAGTCGACGTTCGTTAGGATGGAAACCACGTGTTACGAACGCGGAAACGAACCCCCTTTGCCCACGCGACTATGGTGTTCTTCTATTCTTAACAACGCGTTTATTTGTCCGCGGTTTTCACGGGGAAACTGTACGCGCGCGCGCGCGAGGGGACGAAACGAAAGTTTACCCCGTGCCCGGTTATTTTCAGATCTTTTCCACCCCACCTTTCCATTCTCCACCGTAAACTCTCCACCATCGTTTCAACTCTCCACGTTTACCATACACGAATCCACATTGACCGTGTAGATGTAACGTAATTCGTATACGAAGAATAGTTAAAAGAAACAAGAAAATAAATCGTTTCCACGACGAGAAATAAAAAAGAAACGAAAGTCGGGATAGTAGTATCTATGTTCAAACTCGTCCTCCAAACTTTCCCAGTTGAACGACAACCGATAACGGATAGAATGTTACGATCTAACTAACGAAGGGACTCTAAAAAGAAGTAGACGAAGAGGAGAAAAATGTGGGCGTTTCCGGTTATTTTTTGAATACTTAAGGAAATCACGGATCCTTCTCGGTTTGCTTCCAGCCGCTCGGTTTCTGCCAGATATCGATATCGGCCGGCACAAAAGCCCCGTTGTACGAGAAACGATCGCGGTTATGGAAAACGAACGACCCCATTATTTATACCATTGTACGCTCGATAAACTCACGAGCTACTTTCAGACGCCCAGATAAGACTTTTGTGGCCTCGGCGTTCAACGTCGTTCCACCACCTACAAGGTTTACCAAATTGCAAAATTATTACGCTCGATATTCATTCCATGTTATATTCGATGATTATTTAACTCGTATATGTTGAAATTATTTTTATCCCTGTATATTATTGAACAAGCGTATATATTATATTCGTACTATTATTCCATCGCGATAATATTTTTCAGAATTTTTGCGCGTTTTGCGACACAGTTGTAACTCGTTAATCAGGCATCTTCGTGATGTCTGTTTTTCTCGAATAACGCGGAACAAACGCATTAGAGCATTATTTCATTAGGCTCGCGTGTCTCGGGTTGCGTTAAGCGAAATTGAACGCGAGGAGGAAGAAAATTAAAGCAAGGCGCGCCTCCTCGCGTTAATGGCTCGTAGAAATTAATCCACCTCGTTAATTAATACCACGAAACGGCCATCGATTTATACCTACGTATATAATAATTGAATCGGTAAAAAGTATATCATTATATAATATGATATTGAGCTAATTGTTATTATAATGTTATTTCTTTCCATTTCTTTTATTACCGATTATCGGTAAAAATTTAATACGAATTGAAACACGAATTATTACAGGTTCTCGTTCAGCAACCGGGCTATCGAAGATCGATTCGCATCCCGAAGATGACGTGCTTTTTGTGTCGAGCAAAGACAGCGAGATTTCAAGCCTGTGGGTCAATTATCTCACCGCCTGTTTCGAGCAGATCAGTAGGCAACAGGGCCGGCCGCCTTTCAAGTAAGTTACGATTATCAGATTGTACCGCATGAAGTTGCCAATTTTTAAAATAAACGACGATCAACCGCTACTTGTAAACTCTACTTAACCTATATTTTGCTTACAATATTTTGACATTGTCCTTTTATATTTCCTTTGTGCAATAACCTCTTTTTTTCGTATTAGTCTAACTATTTTTTGAGAAATGAACGGATTTAGAATATTATTCTTGTACAAGCTTGGCCGCCACAATGCGGCTGAAACATATCGAAATATTAGGTTAACTTTCAAAGAAGATTCTATTATTGGGAGAACCGTTCGATGATGGTTTCAAAAATTCAGATCTGAAATTGAGATAAATCAAAATCCATATTAAACAAAGATAAATTGAAAGCCAAAGAGAAAGCTAATCAACGAACAAATATCAGCAGAGTTGGACAATTATCTCCAATGACAGTTTTCAGACATTTTGGGCGTTGCAAAAATCGAAGTTGCATTAGGTTCATTTGAATCTTACTTACTTTCATCATGAAACACATAGATTTGACTGTAATATCTATAATTTTTACTTTCATTCTTTTCTTCTTCTTCTTATTTCAATTGTAGAGTTCGTCACGTGACAGTGGAAGAATCGATACAACCCGGCACCGAGGAGAGGATTCGATCGGCGCGTTTGCAGATCGTCGTCGTGTGTCCAATATTGTTGGAACGGGTTCAAAATCGTCCGGAACACGCGACGAACCTCTCGAGACAATTGATCACCGACAAAGTGCTCGCGATGATGTTGGGCGTTCACGATAACCACATAAGCGAGCTTCACAAATCGATTCTGGTCTCGTACAATCAGTGGAGGAAATTCTTCGTGAAAGACCAGGACGAGACGTTTGTTGGTGAATTATTGGGTGCAGCGATCGGAATTCTTGGTGCCACGCCACCTCCCGCATTGAGGAGCGACAAAACAGCGTTTTCGGTTCATCCGAAGAAAGTGAAGTTGGTGGGTTGAATCAGCGTTTTATTTATTTATTTTTTTTCTTCCATTACTCACTGCTGCTCTCACGCATTCGAGAATTTTTGAAGAAATTATATTATTAATTAAGGTTTCGAAAACTGAAAGCAAAATCGTTTCAGGGCCACAATCGGATAATAGCGTTGCTGAATGATCCCTTGCGACCCGAGGACAACGTGTCGGTGATCGTGGATCGTTGCGGCGAAGCGATCGACATCGCCCACGTGAAACGAAGGAATCCCTACGCCTTGCAATTCTCGATTCCTGACAGATGTTTGGAGGTGTCGATGCTGGTCGGTGTTCGTATATCGAAGAACGGTTGTCCGTTGGGCGTGAGGCAGGTGAAGTGCGAGAGCAGGCTAAGGGAACTCGATCAGATCCTCAGGGCTCACGATAACCCCTTAGAATTCATGTGCCAGGTACAATGATTCGGATAAATCGGGTAATTCGGATTTTATTGCGAATTCTTCTTAATTCCGCGACTTTATTCGCAGACGTTCGGCTTCAATCCTGGCGACAGGGAACAATTGGATAATTGGATGGTCCACGCGTTTCAACGAAACGTTCCACCGCATTTCAACCTCCTATCCACGCCCAGTGGAGTGGTCTCTGCTCAGAAAGTCCACTCGAGTAAGTTCGTTTGAATTGTTCCTCCCAACTGGGAGAAATGTATTGTATATTGTGGATTCGAATTTATCTATTCAAATTACTTATTCACGCTTTCTGGAATATGAAATAGAAAGACTGGTTGGTAAGAATGTTATATAAATAAGCTCTATCCCGTATCTCAAATTGTTTAAAACTATATTCAAATCATGATATTTCGTTTCGAGACTCTAAAGATTTTGAAAAGAAAAACGTCTCTTGGATTGTTTTCAAATTTCGTTAAGATTTAATGATCCTTGATCAATCCAGGTCCCGAAGAAAATCCGACGTTGCTACACTTTGCCGCCCGTTTCGGTCTGGAACGATTAGCTTGGCAACTGTTGGAATGCCCAGGCGGTGATATAGCATGCGATCTGAGGAACGTGTCGGAACTCACTCCTGCGGATCTTGCGGAGCAGGCGGGACACGCGAGACTTGCGCATCAGCTACGTGGCTACATGGTACAAAAACATCGCCTTTAAACGACGTCACAGTTAGTCCAATGAAACCGGTACTTCCGCGATATTTCTCTATTCCTAATTGCAACTGTCGCTTGGATATCAATATGTAGCCTCTCTTTTTCTTTAATCACTCGTCTACCTTCAATCAGATCTTCAATTAGAATCGGTGAAAAAATTCGTTTCATCGATTAATGTAATGTAATGATGATACTCGCTTAAGATCAGTTCTTGATTTCTCTAAATTTCTCTAAAGATTCCAAGATTCAATTTCCGTGATGAAACAATTAAAAAATTTTAATACAGGATGAAAGATACACAATGCATGCGATTAAAACATTCCTTTAAAGGACTCTCGTGTCATGTTGTATAAAATATGCAAAAACTTGTCAAAAATCCGCGGTATAATACTAATTAATGAGCATTCCAATCGATTTGATTTAATAAATTTTTTTCTTTTTTTTTTTTGTTTTCGATACTTTTGTTCATTTATCATTTCGATGAATTAACTGGTATTTTGTCTTTGAATTGCATGTTTCGGGCTTCCCCTTGAATCCTCGTGCGCGGTGCCGCAGCAAATGAACGAGTTCACTAACATGTACAGCTACTTGAAAGTGATCAGCGAGACGACGACGGATCAAGCGGCAAGTGAGTGCCCCTTCTTTGCTAAAAGATTTATTTTATCTCTATATATATATTTTTTAAATGAAAATTGGAAAATATGAGAAAGGATTTAAATCATTAATCTCGATGATAAAACTCGGAATATTTTCCAGGTACGGAACCATCAACGACTAACACAACAAACGAAACCAATAACGACAAGGAAGATTATTGTCGTCCACGACCTTTGAGCGAAGCTTATTCGGTACCACCGGCCGCAAGACCAATAACGTCCATAATCTTGCCAGGTCAATTACCAGTAACCACTAGTAACCCCATTGAGGCGAATTACTCGATCGTACCAGCACCAACTCCAGTCATCGTCAACCCATCAACACCAACCATCACGAATGGCCTTGAACTTTCTCTTCAAGGTTACATGAAAATGCATCCAGCTGGTACAAAATTAATCGCTCTTATATAGAGAGATACACGTAAAAACTTGGAAAATAAGAAAACTCTTGGAATTTTCTTCTAATCTTCAAATATTCTCAATATATTTGAATATTTAAATTTTTAATAAAACAATTTTATTGAATTTCATAACTTTTCAATTTTCAAATACGTTCAAAAGATAAATGTTCAAATGTGATCGTTCAAGGTCCCAAAACACCAACGTCGAATATACCAAACCAGCAACCGTCCCGAACAGGGACGCCTACGCAGAATCGTCCAGATTCCCATCCCATGGCTGCTCGAGAGGAAAACGGTCAATCTTCTTGCTCTTATGGAAGAACGACTTCCAATTGCAGCAGTGTGAAATCGAGGGAGCCGTCCGGACCCCAGGACGAGTTATTAGAGATAATAAACGACTTCAAGAATAACGTGTTCACGATAACAGAAGTGGAGAGACTGGTCGAGAATTGGAGGAATCGTAACGACGTTCAACAAAGCTTCAAAGATAAACAGAGGCAGTTGACCGCAATGAGAGAAGAGTATGAAAGGATACAGAAAAGAATGAAAGAAGAGATGAAGGCTCCAACGCCTTTTGATAGAATTAAGAAATTCTTTTCTAAGGGAAAGAAAGGTTCGTTCGAAACGTATAACGTTATTACGAATAATTGATATTATTATTCGTAACTTCGTTAATATTGGTGCAAACGCTTTATTTTTACTTTCTAGATTCAAAAGACTCTTCGAATGGAAGTGACGATTCTTCTTTGACCAGCAAAACGGAGAATGTTAATGGCGCACTGGCCGATCGCAGACCAGTTAGTAGTTTGAGTCTGCGTAGCGTTTCAAGTATGTATTTTGATAACGGTAATCATTTATGTTGTTAAAGGATAAAACGTTAGAAAGAAATTTCATGATTATAGCATTACTATTTTTCTTGAAAAGAATTATATTTAATTTCCGTTTTCTTAGGCTCCTCTTCGTCTGGTAGAATGAGTACTGCTAGCGGATGTAGTGGAACTAGTTTAGGCGACAGTGGAACTCATTCTGATACCGAGGATCGTCGGGTTGGTATTTTTAAAACAATTGTAATTAGAAAATAGATAAAAATGAAATTTTTCTATAATCGAAAAATTATTTCAGTTACAAAATGTTAGAGAGGACAAACCGAGTGTGATGTCGTATGAGATACCACCAACTCCAAAACCGTTCACTGGAAGATACTCACCGGCGCTTAGATATTCTCCCTCTCCTCGTTCCTCGACTGGAAACGATCTTGATCTGAGACCGTCACAGACACCATCAAGGACTGAGGATACTGAATATTACATCGCCTTTCCACCTTCGGGATTACCTATCCATTGTAAGCTATTAAAACTAAATTTACTTAAATCGAATAGCGACATTTATCGCTATACGATCTTTGATAAAATTTATTATAATTTTATTTTTAACCTAAAATCTAGGAAATAATAATTATCATAAATAAATAATTTAAATACAATGATATATATATAAAGGGCCATATGATATAAAATTAAGTCAAAGATATTTTAATTTTGATCTGAAACTAATATCCGAGTAAAAATTCTAATTATTTTCAATAATTACAAATAGCTTTCAAGACAGAGACTTCTCTGAAGGAACCAAAAACACCAAATTCCCCCTGTGATCATCCCAAGTACCTGGATATGATACAAAATTCGTCTCCAGCAACAACTGATATCTTAGAATCAGACGCATCTTCTAGACATCTTGGCAACAATTATGCAAACATAGACCCGTCTACGTTGAACTCTGCGCCAGTGCCGCCAGCTGGCATTCCTACAAATTACGTGAACGTGACACCCGCTTGCGTCACTTCGTTTCAAGAAACTGTCCAAGGTCACCAGACCGAGCAGAGACATTCGCTTGAATCAAGTCACGCGTGCGAAACTTCAAAAAACTCATCCAAGATCGTGACATCCAATAATGGGCAAGATCAAGATCGTATCACGAACGAAATCCAAAGTAAAAATAATCAAGGTCATGTTGCGAATGAAATCGAAAGTAAAAGCAACGAGGAATACGTGGAAACAAATTTGATGAATAGTTCGGAGGACGTGGATGTTCCGCCGGATATCGGTAAACTACCGGAATATATGAATGTCGATGTTCCTCAGGATCAAAAAGCCGATATAACGAACATGCCTGCACCTCCCGTTCCACCAAGAGGTAAAAAAATTTTTTTTTTTTTTCCTTTTTTCGTCCATATGAATATTTTATCATGTTATCGTATTGGAAAAAATTAGGAGAAAGTATCGCGTTGAATAGTGGAATTTGTTCGAAGTATGAGAAACTAAATTATAAAAATTCAATATGACTTTTATTCATCGTATATCGGGGAAAAAAATTACGAATTATTCTTTAAGGAAAATTATATTCAACGAGCGAAAAGTTGAAATCTATTCCACGAATATCTTAATCATTGTTCCTTGTTCCCCTTTTCACTTGGGGAATTACGAAGGTTGATTGCTTGAACGAACTTTCATCATCGTTGGTTACTTCGAACACTATATATATATATATAAAATTCATTTTTCTCCTATAATCGATTCGTAACGCTTTTTTTTTTTCATCTTTCTGTTACAGTCGTCGTAAAAAAATAAAAGAAAAAACGAATACTACAAACGAAAGCTGCTGTGCTGCCTTTTGTTCCCGGAAAATCTTAACAAATGGATCGACCGAAGTGCTCTCGACAATTGTTTTTATTGGAACATAACTTCAAGTACTAAAGTGTGTCCTTCGTAATCGTTATGTATTAGTAATGTATTTAAATGTAAATTGTTCGTTTCAAGATGATTCGTATTGGGAAGAATCTGTAAAATGTCTTGAATCTATATTCGAAATGCGGCACGTATATATATATATATATTTTTTTCTTTTTTTTCAATACTCGGTAAAGCATGATTTCATCTGTAGATTATTTTGTATTATTGTGTTACAATTAACATACATCTATTATTCGTTATTATTTTTAAACTGCCTCGAATGCATTGCGAGAATAAAATCGATGCATTAATTAGTTATTAATTTGTTGTTGTTATTAATATCTAGTAATCATTATTCGTAATAATAAAAATATCTCTAAAAGCAAGAGATTTTATATATTTTATATATTATATTTTAATCGTTAAATAAGTTGAACTTGTTATTAATAATAATAAATTTATTAATAAAAATTAGTCAATACAAATTTTTAAAGATCTCAAATAATCAATTTAAGATTGTTTAATTTGATATCTTTGAAAATTTTTAATTTCTTTTAATCAAGTCATATTCAAAGAATTATTTTATTTATCTTTAGAACATTTAGAGAAAGAGTTAATTAACTAAGCATTCGAGGCTTTCTAATTATGCCATTAAGTTGTATATTAATTGCTCGGATCTCGGTCCAAAAAGGAATACAATGCTAGCGAGCGCCAAATCAAATTTTCGTCATTTGGCAGGAAGCCAAGACCACAATTTGTACATACTGTCTTCTATTTTATGATATATTATTTCTATAATTCGTTATATATATATATATCTCTTTATTATTAAGTTAGATCAATTTATACGTTATATATATAATTGTTAAAAAAAAAAAGTGTTTGAACGATACCAAAAGACTGTATATCGAAATATGGCATCGCGTAATCATTTTATCATCGATCATCATCCAATTCGTACGTTGTATATCGTAATCATTCTCTAATACAAACGATATTCTGTATATACAGGCATTGAATTCTTTTTTCTGTAATTTTATATATAGAGCAACGAATGAAATGTGTTTCAAGTACCAAGAATGCATTTATCGTTTTATAATTGTAATGTCCCAATTATGTTATAATAGTTTTTCGCAAAATCATTTTTGTTTTTTCTACTGGATCTGTTATGTCCTTTTTATATTTATGTCGTACGTCAATAAAAGTGAAAATAACAAATTGTGACAAATTATTTCAATTGACTCTTCATATCAATTTAATGATAGTCAATGAACTATGATGATACTCAATTATCACGAATTGAACAGAATTTTATAATATGATATAACTATGAAATGATTAATCAATTATTATAAATTGAATAGAATTTTATAATATGATATATAAATATAAAATGATAAATACCACCAATTAAATTGTAATTTTTATCGAGCAATATAAGAAAAAGAAAAAAAAAATGTTGCTTCTGTTTCCAGAAAAACCGGTTATCCTCGAAAATCACGCGCTTAAAATGGATTATATAATTCGACGCATCCGTTTATGCAAATTTTACGAATAAGGATGGAAAAAGCATAAAAGTAAATATTTCGGATAATCTATTGTACAAAAGTAGATACATTCTTGATACAACTTTGACAATATTACAATATTTTAATCGCAACATTTAGATTATATAAATATATAATATAATAATAAATTGGATAATAACTCGTTAATCAAATTAAAAATACGAATAAACATTTATAAATGTTCAAAGATTATTTTTCAAAAATGTAAAACTAACAACTTATTGATACGTGTATTTTTTGCAAATAACATATCGTTGAATAGTATAAGTGATGTCATATTCGTGTACATAATGGCAAATGTATTTCTGAATAAAACATGCAATGGAAAGTATGCATCGACAGTATCGAATAACTTGTCGTACTATCAACATCATAGGAATAACTAAGCGTGTTCAAATTTTCAAAAAAAAGTGTTCAATTTGTGACGAACGACGCACGTTTCTTCCCTTACGATATATAATTATCTTTGGTACCAAAAAGGTATTTTCTATTCGCTTAAAAAGATAGTCTTTTGAATAAACATATAAATATATTGAAATTTAAAAAGAATAAAATGAATAGAAACTTAAATTTTTTAAAATTTGTTTAAACGGTAAATTGTATATAAGTGCAATGTTAATATTCTTTTTATTAAATTAAATTACTTTTATTGGCAATTACGAATTTTCATTATATCTATTATTTGATTGAAAAATCAGAATAGTAAACTTACTAAAAAATGAAATTAATCATTTATTTTATCATATTTCATCATAATTCATTTCACAAAAAATTAAAAAATTTGCAAATCATTTTTCATTAAATGAAAAAGTAATGAAAAGAGATTATAAATTTATATTAAAAAATTCTTCCCAATGAAATCAGGAAATCGTTCAGATTACAGGCATTCATTCATTCTTTATCCCTAAAGCTCACAGAAACCGTTATCTTCCTTCCGTTCGATTTAGATTTCTTGTTAATTGAATTTGTCCGGTTAATTATCGCTGCGGTTCGACATCCGAAGTAGGAACAACGATTCTCAATTTCCCTTACGGAATTGCTACATGCTCCGCACATTTATTATCAAGTGTAATGATCAATCTTATATAGTAGAGAAATTGCTCTCCCTCTGACAAAACGGAAGTCACAATCGCCTCTTTAAGTAAGAATAAAGCAACAGTTTCATAATTTTATTTCAATTCTGAAAACATAATAATATGGAATAATTTATAAATTTTCGTGAGCTATTAGAGAATCTGTAACAATGATTATCATTAATAAAAAATAGATGTGTTTTTGAAAGCATGATCAATAGTGTCAATAGTGTCAATAGTGAAAATTTTATAAAAAAATTTAATAAGATTTTGAAAATAAAATATTATAATTTAAAATATTTACAATGCTATTCTTTTGTAATTTTGCTTTTAGTAATTTTATGCAAGGAAAACATTGAACAATGAAGCTTTTTTTAATCATTTTCACACTGGTGTTATACTTCACCATTACATATGGTGAATCCAGGTTTGTTCCTATTTTGTTAATTAATTAATTATAATTGATTTCTCTATACAATTTATATATTTTCATAGATATGAACATAGATATGAACCATTTGTTGAGAAACCAGGTTCCTGTCCACCACCATTACCAGTGTACATTTGTAGCCAATCTTGTTTCTCTGATTCGTATTGTTCAGGAATTGGCAAATGTTGTCCTACTAATTGCGGAGGCTTTGTTTGCACAAAACCTGTGACTATGAGGACAATTTCTAAAGGTATAATAAAATAATATTATTTTCTATCAATAATAATAATAATATATACATATAACTATAACAGTTTTTAGAATAATAATTTAACAATTTTAAAAAATTAATGATCTTTAGTTTAAATTTGATTTAATATATATATTTAGAAAAACCAGGTTCCTGCCCAGCAATACCTAAAGGAAGATGGATATGTTCGTCAACTTGCAGTGTTGACAGTGATTGCAGAGGAACAATGAAATGTTGTAAGAATCGTTGTGGAGCTATGGCTTGTCAAAAACCAGATATCCAAGAATCTATAGACATCCCAGTTGTTTCACTGCCAGAAGATTCTTATGATATTCCCAAATACGTCAATTCCAGAGTCAATCCAAATAATTATCCTTATTATTTTTATAACAATTAGTAAAAATAATTGCAAATTATGCTAAAGCAAATTAATATGAAAATATAATATTTGTTTACCATCATATAAAATATTCTGTGCCATATCTATTATAAAAATAATAATTGTAATATTTATATCATTTAATAATAAATTTGCATTTTCATGTTAATTAACAAAATTTTAAATTTATTTAACTGTATAATAATATTTAATTAAAAACAAATTCTATTTTGTTTGTATATTATTATATTTTTATGTTGTAAAATCCAGACGCTATATATTTATTTTTTATTTTTTGAAATAATTTCACGAAAATATATCATATATCAGAATATTATATTGCGTAATTGTCATCCTACAAATATAATGTAAAATCGAAAATATAATATCTTTATATTATAATATATTTTTTTTATTTAATTTACATTAACAATTAAGAAAAAAATACCTTTAAAAGAGAAATAAACATACTTTCAATTGACATTGTACACTTGCTTATGATCACACATCAAAACAAGTACAATAGATAAAGAAATCGAGTAGCAGAAGAAGGACAGAGATAACATAAAAATATTGATATCAACTCCATCTTTAGAGTGTCGCAAATGAAACTCATAAAAAAGGATAGAAAATAATAAGAGAGGGATAGAGATAGAATAAGAATTAATCATTAGCGCTATCTTTTATGCATGTTAAAAACTATCTTTGAAATACACTTAAAAGATGACGCTACTCTTTAATTCTTACATTATCTTATTTTTAAAGTTTATCTTTGAGATTCAAGAGATGGTATTATTAGTCAATTCTTATATTCTCTCTATCTTTGTCATATTATTTTCTGTCTTTTTTTTATGTGTTTCATTTGAGGCACTCTACAGATGGCACTAATTTCAATATTTTTATCCTATCTTTGTCTTTCTCCCACTATTTATTCTCTTCGTTTATATCATTATTATACCATTTCTACTATTAATATACCTACTTCTATAAGGGATTTTTAGATTTTATAAAATTTATGCGCTTAACAAATAATACATTCTCGATATTTGATTAATTTTATTGATTTATTTTGCCTATTGATTAAAAAATCTTAATAGAATCTATTCATAATACAAAAATCTGCAAATACAATTCAATATATATAATATTTGAGAATATGAATGGAAGTATCAGAAAATTATTTTCAAAATTCATTGATTTATCAACTTTGAATTTTGATTCATATTTGAAATATAATTCAAATATTAAAACATGTAAGTACAACAATCTGTTTTAATAGAATTTTAAAGAGAGAACTAACAATGAAATGAATTAACAATTAAATGAAATTAAATTTATGTGTATTCAATGCAAAGATTGATATTAAGATATTTTTTACATTTTATCGAATAAAAAGTTTTTAATATTAGAAAAAACGAAAAAAAGAACGTTTTATTTAATTTACAATAAATTTGCGAAAATACTCTCAACTTATTATTTCTAAAATTAATCGTGAGTTACGTACAATTTTCATACCATTTATTCCTTAACTCCATTGACGGGAATTTTCATAAAAATAATTTACGTCAATCAAAGAACGGACATCTGCATGAGTCATGTAAATTCACTTATACAATTGAGATACGCAACTGCTTTATTCATCGAATTGTTGAATCATAATGCAAACATAAAATAAAAATTTACAAAAAGAAAATTCATAAATTGAAATTGGGGAATATTGAGAAATTGAATCAATTAAATGTAAATAACTTATACAAGTATATGGCTTCATGACTATTTTCCTTTCGCTGACCGCAAAGTAGAGGTGGAAACGATAAAGATAAAAACATAGAGATTGACAAGTAGATAAAGAAGGAAAGAAAATATTAAAGATTTAAAAGGCTAAACTTTTATCTTACACCAGTTAGACGTGTTTCATCTTCGAACTGGATCTTATTCAGAGGAAGAACAATACATATTGTGAAACAGGATTGTGAAATAAACAGAAATGTATAGTATGTGTAAAAAATCAGTCTTTCTATGTATATTTTTTTATGTATAATATTTTGAAAAATATTTTGAAAAAATATATATTTAATGTGAAAAAAAAAAAAACACTATAAGATAAAAAGATAGAAAATGGACAATTTTTTATTCTTGAAAATGAAAAAAAATGTATTCTTGAAATGTAAAAAAAAATTGATTTATCATTTTATACATTATATATAATTTTAGATGAAAACATAATCTACTTTTTATTTATATTGAGATTATTCACTGTCTATCATAATATGCAATTTTGATATATGGATAATGAATTTTATTTTGTCATAGAGAAAGGAACAATTGTGTTAGCGTGTTTATTAATTGCCACAGCAGTCTGTCAACTGTCTCGTAAGTTAATTAATAGTATGAACATGTACTTTTAATAAGTTGTTTTGAGTATATGATATAGATAATATCGTAAAAATATATCATTAAAATTACATAATAATATCATAGACATTATAATACCAAATATCATTTATAACATTAAAAATTCATTTTTGCTTAACATTTGTTTTCTTGTATTTTTATCATAATGAAATTTATTTTTATATTTAATATTTATTATAAGTATTAATATTATAAAGTTTTTGGTTGAGCAATAATTAATAAAAATTATACATTTTTTATTGAATTTTATATCTTTTTTTTTATATTTCTTTATATATTTTATGTATACTAAATTTTATTAAATTATTATATAATATATAATATATATATATATATATATATATATATAATCATTAATAAATCATATAATAAATATATTAAATTTTATACATTACTAAATGTTTATATCAATTTATATTATCAAGAAATAGAACAAAAATTAAAATTTCTTCTTTTCTTACAACTTTTTATCTTTCAGATAAAGAGGGTTACTGTCCATTAAGAAATAGTGTTTCAAAATGCATCCCTAGATGTGTTTCCGATTACCAATGTTCTTTTAATGAAAAATGTTGTCCAAATAAATGTGGAAGTAAATCTTGTGTTCAAGCAAGTCCTATTAATACTGGCAATGGATATAAAGGATCATCGAACGGTAAAAAAGATATATTTTTTCAATATATCTTCTTAATATATCTTTTTAAGATTCTTTTTCTAGGATATATTTTTTTAGGATATTTCATAAAATTTATTTTTTAGATGATGTTTATTGCGCTGGAATAAAATGTGGTCCATATGAAAAATGTCAATTTGATCGTAGAACAAAACGAGAGAAATGTGTTCGTACATAGATGATTTTCTTAGATGTAATATATTTTTTATGAAATAAATAATTTCTTTTTTGTTTTAATCAATTTATTTCGTATATAAATTTATTTTTCAATAGTAGAGAAATTTCAAATTCAAATTCGATTAAGTGATCAAATCGAGTTGCGATCAGTAGCGATAGAAACTTGTTGAAATAAGTCGACAATCGACATACAGATTTTAATCGATATTTTTCGATAACCTTTTATTGTTTCATAAGGAGTGTATGCCGAATAGAGTACTACTTGCTTATTATTAATATTTATAAAATAAGTACAAAATAATATATAATATATATATATATATATATATATATATAAATCATTATAAAATCATATATAAAATATATAAAATTTTATACATTACTAAATGTTTATATCAATTTATATTATCAAGAAATAGAACAAAAATTAAAAATTTCTTCTTTTCTTACAACTTTTTATCTTTCAGATAAAGAGGGTTACTGTCCATTAAGAAATAGTGTTTCAAAATGCATCCCTAGATGTGTTTCCGATTACCAATGTTCTTTTAATGAAAAATGTTGTCCAAATAAATGTGGAAGTAAATCTTGTGTTCAAGCAAGTCCTATTAATACTGGCAATGGATATAAAGGATCATCGAACGGTAAAAAAGATATATTTTTTCAATATATCTTCTTAATATATCTTTTTAAGATTCTTTTTCTAGGATATATTTTTTTAGGATATTTCATAAAATTTATTTTTTAGATGATGTTTATTGCGCTGGAATAAAATGTGGTCCATATGAAAAATGTCAATTTGATCGTAGAACAAAACGAGAGAAATGTGTTCGTACATAGATGATTTTCTTAGATGTAATATATTTTTTATGAAATAAATAATTTCTTTTTTGTTTTAATCAATTTATTTCGTATATAAATTTATTTTTCAATAGTAGAGAAATTTCAAATTCAAATTCGATTAAGTGATCAAATCGAGTTGCGATCAGTAGCGATAGAAACTTGTTGAAATAAGTCGACAATCGACATACAGATTTTAATCGATATTTTTCGATAACCTTTTATTGTTTCATAAGGAGTGTATGCCGAATAGAGTACTACTTGCTTATTATTAATATTTATAAAATAAGTACAAAATAACAAGATAGTCACATCGTTCTAAACATTTTTCAATAAGATGGCATTTGATCAATCTTAAATTGTCACAATATATAAAATTATTTCTTACACATTTTCTTAATATTATATAAAAGAGGTTAGGCTTTATGCCGATATTACAATGGCAATAGAATTTTTAGTAAATCGATTGAAAGCACTCGTCGTATTTCTTTTGGGAGTATTTCGGCGAGCAATGTGCTGTTTTCGACGCCGAAGAAGATCATCCTGTGATTCTATTCCCTTATCTGCTATTGGCGTAGTACCGAACACCTTGAACACAACACAACCAGTGAGTTTCAAGTATTACGTCCATCTTTTCAATTCGATATTTTGCAACGATTTAAAGATTATGTAAATCCCTTTGTACTATTGACTCCGATAATAGTAATTACTGAAGATGCTTGCTCAAGGAATTAGAGCACTGGGATCAATGGGAGGAAAATCCTGTCGTGATCGTGCCAGATAGGCCAGTTGACACAATACAAGCAAAGATTGAACAATATAGACAGCAAGCATCTAAACCACCAGAATCTACAGAAGAGCAACAACCAGATTTTTTTGAGGTAGTTTTTTTTTATTCTATTATATCCTAATAATAATAAATAATAATAAATATATATATATATATATATTTAATCTTTTTTTCTAATTTTACAGAATATGACACCAAAGATCACTGCACAGACAAAAATTTTAATCAAAGATAAAAACTTAGAGAATACATCCTGGAATTCAACAAAATTTGCTGTGATCAATGATCCTATACCATCTGTAATTACATACTTCATACTACAATATTTAATTTTTTAATGATATAAAACTAATTAGTGGAACTATATTTATATAGAATGAATTAGGAGAATGGGAAGACAATGCTGTTGGCTGGGAAGAAGAAACAACAAAAGAATTTGGAGATCCCACAAAAACATTGAGGGAACAAAAACGAAGAGAAAGAGAACAGCGACTATTTGAACAGCAACAAAAGAGAATCGAACGCAGTTCAAGACCATTACCATTAGGAGCAAAATTAAACTCTTGATGAGAAGGAAGAATATAGTTGCAAAAATTTATATTGAAAGTGATAATTTTTTATTTAATGATGTTCATGCACAAATATTCTTTTTTCTATAGCATGGAACGTCGATTAAAAATAAGAAAAATCAAAGATTATTTATGCATTACAAATTATTATTTTATGTTTTTTAAAATAAGCCAAATGACATTCTATATCGGAAAACATATTGTAAAGATATTTTGTTTCAAACATACAAATTTATATTTTGTAAGCTTACTAATATTGATATATGTAGTGAAATTAATTTCTTAATTCAAATTATTTAATTAAATTACTAAATGGTATTTAATAGATTAAAAAATACTGAAAGACTAAGAGAATTTACTTATTTGCATATATGCAAAAATAATGAACGAATTTCCATATTGAAAAGAATGATAATATTGTTGTTTTTATTGTTGAAATTATTTTATTGTTAAAGTATTTCTAACAGCTAAAGACATTCCATGTAAATAACTTTTTAATACCATATAAAAGTTGATTTTTTATAATCAAATCTGACTATTTTTTAAAAGCTAATCATAAAATCTTATAACTAATTTCTATAAATATTATTTTATCTATATGATTAATTTCTTAATCATATTGATGTAATGTTCAAAACATGTTCATTGAATTTGTAGTGAATTAAAATAAATCATATTACTAAATGTTGTGTAATTAAAATATCTTATAAAAACCTTGAAAAGAAATAAACTAACATTTTATAAAAATTCTAAATATTCATAAATGTTAAAAATCGCTTTGTTTTTAAAATATCGTCTATACGAAATTATATATGGAAAGTGATCATTATAAAGAATAGAGATGATAAATGAATGTATTTTTGAAATGTAATTATTCGTGTGTCGATAAAATGTATATGATCAAACAAATTTTCCCCTGTGTACAACCAGATAAGAGTGAACTAAAAGAGATAAGGACGGGCAAAAACCGCAGGATAGAATAATATTATTCTTTTCATATTTCTGCTTCATTTCTTCATTCATATTGCTTCTACATTATTACTTATCATCGTTACAAAATTCTTATAAATTATTGTGTTATTAAATTACATATATTTTTCATATCACTTTGGATTTATCGATTATTTACCGCTATAAATCGGTAAGTATAAAAAAATTTTATTTATACTAAAAATAAATTTACAATTCATTAATTTAAAATATCTTGAAATTACATTATATTCATTTATTAAAATAAATTATATTCTTTACAAAAATATGAATTTATTAATGAATGAAATTGCGAAAAATAAAACATGTGATTTTGCATTTTACATGACATTTTCTATAAAGAAATTTATATTCAATTTATGATAATATCATACATGAAATTAGAATTATATTTACTATAGCATCGATCAAAAACTAATGAATGTAAACTTCCCCTTTTTAAATTACGTCATGCGCATTAAAATTTTGATTATGTACGTGGCTGTGTACATGAACAAAGCAAACAACGAATTGCATCTACGTTGACGTGCGCGTAAAATCTGTTTCATCCAGTGCCACCAACTTCAGATCATCCATGTCATACGTGTATGAAATAATGCAAAAATTCATTTGATAGGGCATTTTAAGAGAATTATGGTGATCCATTTTTAGGATTATCGAGCGATTCTGCGATTTCCTTTGTTTTTTTTCAATATCATTTTTCAATGATCGCATTCGTGATCGAAAAACGCACGCGATTACTCGATGCTTTCTATCTTCATCCCTAACGACATATGCAAATTCGAAATGTCAACATCAAAAGGTGAGCTATCCATCGGACCTTATGTGCAAGAATGAACATAACCGATTTTTAAAATTTGTTTTATAGATTTATATGTTGAATAATGTCTATTAACCTCATTTATGAAACATTTATGAGACGTTTTCCTAAAATATTTTCAAATGATTTTCATATAGGACAGATTAAATTATTAATACGGACAAATCATTATAAATGTACAAAAAGAGACAACGTTTAATATTTCATCATGTTTAAATTTTTTTTTATAATTTTTTTAAGCATATATGGTTATATTTTAAAAATATTTTTCACGAAGCTATAAAAGGGATATATTGTTTTATATTTCATCCGAAAAAATACATGTTCTTGATCATACATCACTTGTCAATCATATGGTAGAATATAATTAATAAGTTATATAGTTACTCTCTATTGTAGACTACAGATAAAACGATCTATTTTTAATACTACGAAATCATCGAATCAGACGATATTCGTGATAATTTATTTTTATCCATAAACGAAAATGTAATTGTGAAAAATTTTTATTGCAAATTTCTAAAATGCTAATTGATTAAGATCAACATATTTGTAAGAGGTTATTCAATTCTTTTTTAGGCAAAAGAATACGCTCTTATCTAAACACAATGTGCTATGTGATAAGAGCGTTTTTTAATGATAATTGTTTCTTATGAATCACTTGTGATACCAATCAGTAATATTGGAATAATGTAAGAAAAATCAAGCATATGTGATATATAGTTATATATTTTTATTATAAATTACAATAGAACATCATAACAATGGGTTCTATAGCATTGGAAGAGTTTGAACTTATGAAAGACTCTAAATATAGAGTGTAAGTAATATAATTATTGACTTACATTCTATTTTATTAAATTAAACTATATATTTAAATTTTTAAATTTTTATAAAAAATTGTAAAATTGTATTTTAATTTTTTATAAATGGAAGAATATATTTTATACAGTTATGTATCTGCTGTTGACAAAGCGTTAAAAAGTTTTGAATATACCAGCGAATGGGCAGACTTAATATCTGCACTTGGAAAATTAAACAAAGTATTGTTAAGTCATATGAAGTTTCCAGTTATTCCTAGAAGAATTAAGATATCTAAAAGATTAGCACAATGTATGCATCCTGCTTTGCCATCCGGTGTTCATTTAAAAGCTCTTGAAACTTATGACATTATTTTCAAATGTATGGGCACTAATAGACTGAGTCATGAGTTGTTTATATATAGTGCTGGTAAGATTAAAAAATAAAATAAATTTTTATAAAAATCATATAGTTATATAATTTAAATATATTTATTAATTTGTATTTATTAATATAAACATTTTTATAGGTCTATTTCCATTGTTGGGTCATGCTGCTATGAATGTAAGACCATCTTTATTGACAGTATATGAAACACATTTTGTACCTCTTGGAGAAAGATTAAGGCCTGGTTTGAGTGGATTTTTAAGTGGTGTTTTACTTGGTTTAGAAGATGGCTCTGATCATTTTGATAGGTATTATTAATAAAATAGATTTTAAATACAAATTATAAAACAAATATACAAATTATAAATATTTTTAAAAAATTGTTTTTAGAACAAATTCTTTACTTGAAAAAGTGTGTGAGGGAGTAGGTCCAGAACATTTCTATGCATGCTTGTGGGATTGTTTAGCCTCAAATTCTGGAATTCGATTACCTGCTATATCTTTTGTATTAGCACATTTTAACAAAAAACTGCCAATGGAAGAACAGAATTATATCATGGGCACAGATACTAATATTATGGTATATATGAAAAGTATTAAAAAATCAAATATTATTCTTATTTTATTTTTTAATTATTAAAATCTTAATCAGGTTACTGCTCTTTGTGCTGGAGTACAAGACAATTCTGTGTTAGTACAAAGAAGTGCTTTAGATTTGCTGTTAGTTGGTTTTCCTGTACATAATAGTCAATTAACACATGAGCACATGGTATCACTAGTCACAGCTGCTCTTGTGACTATACTAAGAAGAGATATGAGTTTAAATAGGTAAAGTAAAAAAAAATGAAAAATAAAATATTAAAAATATCAAATTAAATATTTTATAAAATTAATTTATATACATATATATCATAGACGATTATTTGCTTGGCTTTTGGGTACTGAAGTCAGTACATCTATTTTAAAGAGGAAAGTAGATACTAAAGTATCAGGAAATATGGAAAATACACCTACTTATTTTGATATGTATTCAAAAGAAATGTTAATTGAAGCAATAAAGTCATTATTGAAAACTATTTGTGAAGAAAGTCCACAAGATTTAAAACCATATAGAATATTAGTTTCTTTGTTAGAAAAAGCAGATATTGGTCCAGTAATTTTGGATGATATTTTATTTGAAGTTTTTAGGTATAAAAAAAATATATTTAAAATTATCATAATAAAATAATCTTTAATAATATAAAAATTATAATTATAATAACTTATGATAATTTTTTTAATTATAGAACTTTTTATAATGCTTGTGGACAATCAAATAGAGTACCAAAAACAAATGAAGTAGTAAAATCAGCAAATTTATTGTTTTCAACTTTAGAACCATCTTATGTTTGGATACATTGTGGTCATTTATTTGAAAATGCTTGTCAAGCTAGAGCAAAAAGTAAACGAGAAACGGAAGATATTATTGTGAGGCCTGTTGGCAGTGGGATGCCGAATTTCATAGAAATATGTATATTGACTGAATTCCTACTTGAAACCGTGTCATTGGATGCATTTATAGACACTCCTTCCGAGCACCTACCGGGTTTGTTCTATGAGATCATTAGTAAACTTTTGTATCATATTGATCTTTTGACTCCTATGGAGATTTCACGAAGTCTCCGATTATGCGCAAAAATTCTAACGAAGGTTCAACCAACAATAGTTTCGAATCACACAGAGAAAAACGAATTAGAAGCGAAATTGGATACAATTACAAATACTACCACAATCAACGATAATTCCTTAACTGCAATTCCTTTGGAAAAAAGTCAATCCGATAGTAAATTAAATAAACCGGATATAACTACTAGTTCGTTTTCTGAGAAAAGTCCCAGTCCTAGGAGAAGAGCAAATTCTGGGGGTGCCACTAAACGATCTGATAAAAAGTCAAAAAAGAAATCTAGTAAAAGTACATCAAAATTAAGTGAATCTCTACCAGAACCAAGTACAAGTATTTCAATAGAAGTAAATCAAGAATCCAAGGGTTTGCCAAGAAATAAAAGTATGGATGATATAAAGACTGGATATATAGAAACAAATACTATTAATTCTCCGACTAAAGATCAATTGAGTACATTAAAACAATCTAGTAAAAATAGCATTATGGGCTCCACAGGATCCTTAGGTAGAGGACCATCTCCTGCATTTCAAGCACAACATTCAATGTTGGAAAAATGTTTAAGACAGTATGAAATTTTTTATGTTAAATTTGTTAGTGATAGAGTATTAACTAAAGAAAGAACAGTTCAGAATATGTTCGATAACTTAATGATATCATGTCCAAGAGAGAGTTTCGATGAAAGAATGCGATATTTAGAACTTTTATTAAACTCTAGATTAAACATGGAAGATTCTGGTTTCTTCAGCCAAGATCTTTCTGTGATTGAAGATACTAAACAATTGGACATTCTTCATTTGAACATTGATTCAGTTTCCCAATCAGAATGGGATGAAACTATGAAAATTGCTTCTAGCTTATTTGTTGAATTATCTACATTTCCTAAATATTTTCTTCCTGGTGATGGATTACTTATAGAAGAAGAACCAAAAGGAAATATTATTCTTCCAGATTGGTTAAAAGTTTTAGTAGTTTGTACTTGTTGGTTGGGAAAACAGCCTGCTCTCCAATTAACAACTATTGCTACATTGTTGGATTTAGTAGCTTTGTTAAAAGCTCATAATGATATTGAGACACATCCAAAAAGTGGAGAAGGAGTCACAGCTGTAATTATGGTACCATTGTTGAAACAATGGCACATAACTTATTTGATGCAATATACTAATGTTTTTCAGGTATTTCAAATATATTCATATATTTAAAAAAAATTAAATTTAAACTAAGAATTTAAAACTTAGAATAATATTTATAATATTTTATTTTGAAGGTATTAGCGCATTCTCTATGGCATCATCTTGGTGAATTACCTGCTCATAAATATAGAATGAAATGTGTTGAATTATTGCACGAATTGCACCATGCTTTACATAATTCCTGTGATGCTGTAGAAGATGTAATAGGAGTGGCGCTTACATCAGAAAATATAGAAAAAAGAATAGAAGCATTTAATAGATTCGCTACATTATGGCATCTCGGGCGAGAAATTGAAACGAATCCTAGATTACGAGGCTGTATGAAATCTTTTGATCAGTATGTCATATAATTTTTTTATGCATTTTTTAATAATTTATTATTTCGTTTATTATTAATTTAAATTATTTAACAGGTCATTGTTAAAAATACTGGATAATCTACAACTTGCAGATAACTCTTCTTTAAAACTTCATGCTCAATCATGGCTTCTGCACTCTCTAATGCGAGGTGATATTTCACGTATAGTAGACCCTTTATTGATCATGCTCTTGGATCCATCCACTTGTCGTATGAGTGTACTCCATGTCAGTATACAACATAGCAATACTGTTCTCACAAAAAATGATCCAATAGAAGAAAAGTCTGAGATACAAGATGATACAGAAGGTGCAGCAAAAATTTATGCAATTAGTTCTGTAGATGGGAATGTAATATATCACGTTAGCGATAATGTGGATGAAGATAAAAAATGGCGAAAGGGTAAAAAAAAGAAAAAAGCCATAAATCCTGTGAAGTAAAAAGAATATTCGCTGTGACGACATTAGCTGCCGGTGATAATTGTAATCAATATGTAACTGAAAAGAATCAATTTATGAAAGAATTAGAAGTACCTCCTAGTATATCTGGCAATAGAAAAATTTCTGTTTTTGTGAATCCTTTATCACTTAATTGCAACGAAAATTCTAATGATTCTTTAATGGAAGATGATTTGTTGCCTACTGTAAAGAAAATAAACTTAACAACAGAATTATTAAAAAATGCAACAAGATTTAAGAAAATGGATTTTGACAAAGGTTCGACTGCTAGTCTGGATGAAAGTCTTTATGAATCAGCGAATTCCAGCTTAAAAACAAAAGAAAAAAATGGATTTAAAAAATTAAATGGAGAAGTTGGCTCATCTTTGGATTCTATTACTAATAGTTTTGACTCCAGCAGTCCTGAAATTACCAATAAACAAGGAAAACAGAAAAAAGAATCCATTATAATGCCAGGTAGCTCTAGAGAAGTAGCAGGAACTATCATTAAGGGTAAATATCATAGCACAAACGAATTTGCAACGAATTATGATGTTCATGATGTTGGAAGTTTCGAAGCGAGCGTTGAAGTACCTAGCTGGACAATGGATGATGAAGAAGCAGACCTTGATGTTAGTACAACTGCAGAAGAATATTTCAGTAACTCTAGTGGGAATAGCATAGTCGAAGAAATCTTAAATGAAGTACTTGATAAAGTAATGCAAATATGTGATGCAGTAGAATCACCTAAAATTGTAAGTAGTAATTTATTTTTACTTTGTATGTGTTTATATAATTAATATAATATCAATATATTAATGTCATATTGATTCAATATTATATTTACAGATTGATGAAGCTATATATCAAAATTCAAAAACGGGTCGTAATTTCGGAATCGGTGTACACAATCTCCATTCGCATATGCTGCTTTATTGTGGGGTTTATGATTCAACTAAAACACTTTATGCATTGCGTACACTTCGCAACGAATTATTAACTAACACAAGAATGTTTCTTTGTTGTGCTGCAACAACTAGTGTAACTAATACTACAAAAAATACAACATTATTAAATTTATTAGCAAGACACCGAAAAAGTGTATTTGGAAGAAACTTTCATGGAGAGATAGCAAATACAGAATTTATAGCGGCTTATAGAAGTAGCATGTATTTAGAAGTTTTAATTAGTGTGTGCCTTTATTTTGCTAGGAGTTACTATCCTAATTTAGGACAAATGAGACTTACGCACGAAGAAATTTCAGGAAATCGACAGGTAATTATATTCATAATATCATAATATTTTTATATTTTGTGAATATTTATTAATTAAAATTTATTTCTAATTAGGTACAACTTGCAAGCGCAGAATTGTTAACACTTATATTTTCTGAATTAATTCCAATCGTTCGTGATTCAGGAAAAGGTTTCAGTTGTTATATAATCGATCTACTTACTAAATGTAAAGTACAAAAAGTTGCATTACATTGTCTTGTATCTAGTGTAATGAATATGAAAAACGCTCATAAGGAAAATGAAGAAGTATTTACATTTACCGAAGAAATTATTTTGTTAATGATCCAATTACAGATAATGATGTAAATAAATGCAAATACAGAGCGAGCGATCATACAGAAGCTTTTCAAATTCAACTATTAAGGTGAATACTTGAGAAAAAAAATATATTTATAAATTTTATATTACTAATTATTAGTTCATTATAATAAACTTTTTTGTTATTTAAGATTACTATTAGCTTTAATCATGTTAGAACATCAATGTGGTAATCAAAAAGGTGAAGAAATATGTCCTTCAAATACAACAATACCAAATACTCCAACTGAAAATATTCCTAATATTATGGGAAATAGCTTAAAATATATACCTGGTGCATCAATTCCACAACAACCAATGTTTCTTGCTAGCATATTAAGCGCTTTACAATTGGTAAATATAAATTTTAAATTCCATTCTTTTAATTTTCAACATTATATGATTTAAAACAAAATCTATTATTTCATTGATTTTTTTTATTTATTTTTATTTTTATTATTATTATTATTTTTTTTTTTACTAAAAATTAAATTTTTTTAAAGGATCACATGAGACATTTACACCAACATTGGACAACTCTCGTTACATCGAGTCTTCCGTTTATGGGATCTTCGTTAACATCTATAGTTACATCAGTCATTCATCAATTGTGTTGCAACATCGAACATTTAGCATCGTATTATATCAACGAAGAAACAACAACAGCGATAAAGTTACAAGATATAAGTAATGTTGAATGTTGTCTTCCTGCAGATTATACAGTTACGCACCTAGAAGCTTTAACATTCTTACTTCACTATTGTCTATTGGATACATCACAACAAATCGGCTTTTCATTTAATCAACCTCTAAGTGGTACGATTCAGACTGGAATTCCTGGTGCAAATCCTGGTCAAATATTCAATAATCTTATTCACGTATTTATGCCGAGTCCTCTTTCTCCAGTAAGAACTTATAGATATATGTTTTTAAAAATATATTTTTAACGAAAAATATTCATTTATTTTAATTTTGTAGGATCTTACTACAACGAAGGATAAAAATGGGATCAGTGAATTACAACAATATGCTCGAAGAACTGCTTTAAGTCATTTACCAAGAATAATTGCATCTCTTTCCACTCTTTGGCAAGCAGTGTTAGCAACGAAGGACAAGTTTGTTTTATTTTTCATTTTTTTTTTTCATTTTTTTTTATAATTAATAATTATAAAAATAGGTTTATATTAATAATTTTTAAATTAATTTTTTAGTGATCAAGCTAGCTGTGTAGTAGGTAGTCCACGAATAGTCAAGCATCAACTTCTAGAACTTTTGTCTCCTATATCTTTTCATCATGGTGTAAACTTTTTGGCCGCCATTGCTGTCGCTTGGCATGAAAGACGACAACATTCTGCTAATTCGAAAAAGGTGAATATATCAGCGGGTTAATAATATGTCGTATATATATTTAAATAATCATACATTTTTATTTTATTTGTTTATAATTAGGTGCTTCCAGAAGCTTGTCCAAATCAACAAGTCATGGTTCATTTAGTAAGCGCGATTCGTGTAATGCCTATCGATACTTTAGTTCAAACTGTTCATCAAGTCGTAAGAAATCCACCACCGATTCACGGTGTAAAACAAGATTTTTCATTAGAAGTTTCTGTATTGGAATTACTTTACATTTATATGCAAAGTAATACATCTCAGTCTCTTATTGAATCATGGGCATCTTTACTTGGTTTACTTAAAGATGGTCTATCTTTGACCGCACCTGCTCAATTTCTTTTATTAGCTATCTTAAATGAATATGTACAGAAATGTCCACCTATGCAAGAAAAAAAGGATATTAGAGATCTACAAGATGTTTCAGCAAAAGTATTGTTTTTATCTTTTTTTTAAATTAACAAATTTTTACTTCATATAATCATAAAATTAATTTTAAAATTTTTTAGTTGGTTGAATCATGTTCACAAATAGCTGGAGCATGTTTAGAACAAACAACTTGGTTAAGAAGAAACTTAGCGGTAAGAGAAGATGCATTTGAAGTTGCTGAAGGATCCTCGGAAGGTAAAGAAGGCAAAAGTGGTGCTGGTGCGTAATGTGCTTTTTTTTTTTAGAAAAAATTTATTTTCTATTCTATTAGAAATTGTAACTTTTGTTATTTATTTTTCCCTTTTTTCTTGTTAGAGCAATATGCTTTAGCATTCTAATCCTCACTTGACAAAAAAACTAACAAATACATCTTTTACAGTAACACCCGGTACACCGCCTAATGCAGCGTATAGTATCCAAGCTCAAGCAGTATTAGCAGAGATAGTAGCACCTTTATTCGATGTTAGTTATGGTTCCCAAGAAAAAGAACGTGTAGTGACCTTGTTAACCAATCTCATGTATAATGTTACACCATATCTCAAGAATCATTCGTAAGATTTTATCTAACTTTTAATCAATTTTGTTTTAGCAGTTTTTGTGTTCTACTAATAACTAAACTTCTAGGACAAAGAATATTGCCTCGTTCACGGCTTGTTCACAATTACTGAGTTCCTTATCAGGTTATCAATATACAAGAAAAGCATGGCGCAAAGATGTGCTGGATCTTTTGTTAGATTCTGCCTTTTTCCAAATGACACCAGCATGTTTGCCATACTGGAGGACTATTATAGATAATTTAATGACACATGACAATACAACGTTTCGAGATTTAATGAGTAGTTATCTTTTTTAGAAAAAATGCCAAAAAATAAATTATAAATAAATAAATTGTTATAAGTAAATTTATATTTTATGAATTTATTTTATTACAGATCGCGTTTCTATGGCTCAAAGTAGTAGTATCAGTATATTCTCTTCAAAAGAACAAGAGTATGAGCAAAAAGCACAACTATTAAAAAGATTAGCATATGTGATACTTTGCAGTGAAATGGATCAATATCATAAATATATGCCTGAAATTCAAGGTCAGTTATTCTAAAACATTAATAAATATTATTGAATTTTTATATAATATTGAATTTATTATTATTATATTATTGTTATTGCTATCATTATCATTATTATTATTATTATTATTATTATTATTATTATTATCATTATTATTATTATTATTATTATTATTATTATTATTATTATTGTCTATTATTAGAACGATTAGCGGACAGTTTACGACTACCACAAGTGATTCCATCTATTCAAGCACAAGTCTTTCTTTGTTTTCGGGTGTTACTCCTTAGAATGTCTCCACAGCACGCAACTTCCTTATGGCCAGTAATAGTTAGCGAACTTGTTCAAGTCTTCTTATACATCGAACAAGAATTGAATGCAGATAGTGAAGAATTTAGGTAGAGTAAATACTTCATATTTTTAATTATTGGATTATTCTGCTTTCGGGATTTTGGTGCTTTTAATGCATGATATTTCAATGGATTATTTAAAAATTATCAAGAACAAAAATCTAAAATAATTTTTTTGGGAATATTTTTTTTTATATTAAATTATTTTTTATTCTGAGTTTAGTTTTTTCTAGTCTTTGCGTAGTTTGATAAAACATCTCATTAAACATTTAGCATTGTGTTCTAATTAAATTGTTTGTTTTTCCTCCTTACTAACATTAATGATACCTCTAATGTCATATTGTTTTTGACTTTGTTTCGGTATCCGTGATTTGGTGGAATTTATGATGCCTCCATAAATTGATTGGTGTTGGGACATCAGTCGTCATAGCAGGTAATTTTGAATGCTTCTTGCATATTAACGTACATAAAACAAAATGTAAATTTCTGAACGTATTTAATTGTTAGATATTTCTTTAAAAAAATGTAATATTATTATTTTTTGATATCATCGAAAGATAATACATTTTATCTAATTTTGCAATATTGGGAAATAGTAGTTACAACATGCATAATTCATGGGATTTGTGTCTGTTTTGTTTTTTTGCTTTTATTGCAATTTATTAAAACAATTAAAAAAATTTATCATGAATTTTGTTAATGAAATTCTAAGATATTTTATTTTTGTGCAGTTCGCATATAAAACTACTCTCAGCTTTGGATTCATCTTGGGCAGTAAATGCTAGCAATGGACTTCAAGCACATGGTCATCCTCACTGGTTGCAATTACAACTTGCAGCTGCTAAATTATTAGATCTAGCATTGCTTTTGCCTGCACATAGACTTCCTCAATTTCAAATGTAAGTTAAAAATTCAAATAATTTTTATAATGAATAATTCTTTAAAAAATTACATAAAATTGAGATTTTTTTTATAGGTATCGGTGGCATTTGTAGGCGATTCAGCGGCAGGATCTGTAGAAAACAATAATCTATCTTCTGATTTTGTACCACATATTACGAGAATAGCAAAATTGATGGATAGCAAGGTAAACTTAAGAATTAATTTGATTTTACAAACTTTTATATCATTATCTTTATTCAAATTAATATAAATTCAGCATTTTATATTACACAAAACAACATTAGTATTCAAAATAAAATGAAAGCATTGCATTTTTTATATATTAAGTTGCATAAATTATGTGATATAAAAATTATCTTGTTTTGGAAAACACTGTTCTGGTAACAAACATTGTTGTGTTTTTTCATCAAAAACATATTCTTCTTTGCATTCGCATCCACTTTTACATGGTGTATAACAATCTACCATATCTGGTTCAGAACAAGTGAATTGACAAAGACAATGGGTCCAAATGGATCTTTCATCACATTGGTGAAAATTTTTTGTAATCATATAATCAAGTTCTTCATAATCATATCCAGGAATTCGATGTTTCGTATATCGATACATTTTTTCAGGTTTATACCATTCTAAGTGTTCAACTGATTTTTTTTTGAACGAATCATCATTAGCTTCAAACGGTATTTGAAGATTATTTTTATGAAAGTAAAGATTGTTTTGTATGTTTGCATCTTCAAAATTGCTCAAAATATAAAAATCGTCTTGAATCATATCCATATGATCTTTATCAAAGTTTTCAATATAATTAACTGGCATATCTTCATAAAATTTTAAATCTTTATAATCAGAATCATCCATATATTCTAAAATATAATTATAATGCATTATAATAATGCATAAATATAGGTAAATATTATAAAAAGTTCAATTAATTTTTTAGAATAAAATATTATGTAAGTGAGTTTATTGTATAATTTATATCATTTAATTTCTATTAATTACAGCCAATTAACTTAAATGAAGTCTATTAAAAGTGGAGAAGTTACAATGAATCGCCAATTGTATTTTTATTTTCCATTTAATTATATGATTTAAAATAAATAATAAATTAAAAAATATTAATTTTTATTTAAAAATTGGTTTTTCATGACATTTATATATATATATATATAAGAGAAGAAATCAAATAATTATTTTATTAAATTAAAAAATTAATAGTAAAAAAGAAAAAGTTTAAATAAAACTTTTTTAAATATTTAATATACTATTATAATATAAATATAATTAACATATTTATTATCTATAATTAAATAAACATTTTTATTTTATTTTTTATTATTGTAGAGAATAATTATTTATTTTAAATATTTAAAAAATACTTACGCGATTGTGTATAACACTTATTAGCATTTATCATTATTATAATATAAAAAATGAAACAAGCAAGTGTTCTTAATCTAGTCACTGCCATGGCCACTTTTAAACTGACTAACAGTAAAGTGCAGCAGTCTTTTACTACAAATGTACTTAATTAACAGTAACTTAATGAACTTCATACACTCATATATTTTTTCTAATTAAAAATCTTTTTTAATATTATTTATATTAAAAAATAAATTGCTTTATACATTTATTATTTTTTTTTATTGATAATAATATTATTCGTTTTTTATATATTTTTTAATCTTAATATGTTAATAACATATGATTTTAGATAGAATACTTATTTTACACTTATTTTCAATTGTTTTCATTAGTTCTGATGAAATACTTATTTTAGTACAAATTATATATATGTACATATATATATGTACACATTTTATTTTTGTAAGCCAATCATTTTTCATTTCTCTAATTTAATATCTAAATTATTTGATATTATAATAAATTTTATAATATCAATTTATAAAATGATAATTATAATAAATTTATAAATTACATCTTCCTTTTGTGTTATTTTATAAAAATTTTAAAATAATTTGTTATCTAATAATTTTTAATTAATTTTAATTTAAAGATTTTTATAAAAAATTAAAAAAATAAATATATGTACTTTATAATTATTTTATTAATTTATTAATATTTTGTTATTTATTTTATAAATAATACAAAATATTGAATATTAATTAAAATATTCTTCATTCTTTGAAAATCATAAAATAAAGTTATATTTTGTATAATATTTTTTGTTTCAGTACAAACAAGAAACAAGCTCTAAAAAGACTATACCTGGTGAACTTCTTTTAACGTCAAATAATATTCGTTCATTGCAAGATCTGCATTATTTTTTTACGACACTAAGCCGCAGATCGAACGATACACAAACACCGTTGAATATTACACAAGTGGAAACAGTGATCGAACAAGATTTTCTTGAAAAAATGCCAGCTGCAAGATAGTAGGAATATATAAACAACATAATGGAACGATTTTTTAAAAAAGAAGAATGAAAGAGGCATCTAAACATCTTTATTCTTTGATATTTTTTTAATTCATTAGTGAATATTAATCTACATATGATAAACTGATAAAATAATTCTATTAAAAGAAGTGATCCACTTCCAGAAATTCAACTATATTCACTTGTATATCATAAATGAAATAACATAGAATATGTATTATATAGAAATATTCAGATGAATATTTGATTTTTATTAGTTAAGCTTCTAACTTGTCTCCTCATTCGGTTGTGAATAGTTATCAAAAGATACTACATGCCAGGCTGGTGCCTAGCTAAATATTAATGTAGGAAAATATGTACAGTGTAACATAACATTTTATTGAAACGTTATTTTTTCAACTATTTCGAAAAAAGTTGTTTATTCTTTATTTATCATGTATATCTCTCTATCCTGATATTAATTTTTTAGAATTAAGATTAAGATTAAATTTTAGAATTATCGATACAGCGATAATATAAATATAATAACATATATATTCACATAAATAAACAAATTTATGTGTTTTATTTTCTTTAAATTTTCACATCAATTTATGAAAAATACGAAATAAAATATCAATAAAATTTCAGTTGATTGCATAATATGTATTTAAAATAATTGCATTTTTAAAATGTCTATATTAATAAATCTTCTATTTTTCTTTTGTAATTTAAAAATTAAAAATATACATCTGTAAATTATAGTAAATTTTAAAGTGCGAATATTGAAAAATAATAACTACTATATTTGAAACGTTATTTATTATATTAAGAAATTTAATGTACATGAAGAAATGGGAACAGATGCGTTTACATCATATGTGTGAATATTATTATAATATCTTTTTTAAGATTACTTATATATATTGATTATTAAAAAAAATCATTAAATATATTATTTAAATTTATAAGAAGAAATTAAAATTTGTTATCTAGAAAAAATTTTTAAATTTATTTAAAAATTTATTACTGACAATTTTAATTATAATTTTCACACATGTGATTCATTAATTCATATGTAATTGGAAGGAAAATGATTAAAAGAATTTATTGTAAAATTATTTTTCTATATGTGAATTCAAATATGCAAGTTCTTAATATAATTTATAAAATATATAACTTATTTATGAAATATTTCTCTGTTATAATTATTACTTTGATTTTACCATGTATGTGTGTATTTATATATATATATATATATATATATATATATATACACACATATACAGATATACATATATGTGCACATTTATGTGTACATACATTTATTTGCTATATAATTGTTATTGTATTATCATATCATCTTACACTTTACTTCTATTTTTTAGATACAAAACAAATTAATTGAAAAAAATAAATAAAATATTGTAGTATCAATTAATTTATAAATTAAAAAATTAAGTTACAAGCAAAAATATTCACATAGAAAATTTTATAATTAATATATTTTCATTATATGATTTGTTATTTTTTTATTAAAAAGCATTTATATATTATTTATTATTATTATTAAGTTACTTATATGAATATCTAATAATTTAAATAATATGCAATTGTTGTTTATATAATGTATAAGAAAGAAAAAATCATTTTTCAATTGAATATTTTATTCTAATCATATAAGGATTAATAATTATATAAGGATTCATACTTTAATTTTCCTCATATTTATAATTAATAATATAACTATTTTAATATTAAAATTAATATATTGAATGAAAATTGAAGTATGTTCTAAAATTTAAGAAATTATACATTCATTTCTTTTAAAAAAGTCTTTTGTTTAAATAATTATTAATTATAATTGTATATAATTAAATTAATATTTGATTATGTTATTTCTTATATAAAATATTTTCAATTGTTTGATGAAATAATTCATTAATAATAATTATTATGTAATTATGTGTGTATTATTATATATATATATATATATATATATATATATACACACATATACAGATATACATATATGTGCACATTTATGTGTACATACATTTATTTGCTATATAATTGTTATTGTATTATCATATCATCTTACACTTTACTTCTATTTTTTAGATACAAAACAAATTAATTGAAAAAAATAATAAAATATTGTAGTATCAATTAATTTATAAATTAAAAAATTAAGTTACAAGCAAAAATATTCACATAGAAAATTTTATAATTAATATATTTTCATTATATGATTTGTTATTTTTTTATTAAAAAGCATTTATATATTATTTATTATTATTATTAAGTTACTTATATGAATATCTAATAATTTAAATAATATGCAATTGTTGTTTATATAATGTATAAGAAAGAAAAAATCATTTTTCAATTGAATATTTTATTCTAATCATATAAGGATTAATAATTATATAAGGATTCATACTTTAATTTTCCTCATATTTATAATTAATAATATAACTATTTTAATATTAAAATTAATATATTGAATGAAAATTGAAGTATGTTCTAAAATTTAAGAAATTATACATTCATTTCTTTTAAAAAAGTCTTTTGTTTAAATAATTATTAATTATAATTGTATATAATTAAATTAATATTTGATTATGTTATTTCTTATATAAAATATTTTCAATTGTTTGATGAAATAATTCATTAATAATAATTATTATGTAATTTATTATTATATGTTGTATAAATATTTGAAGATACATTTTTAGTTAAATAATTTTTTAAATTATTCTATAATGTAATATTTTTTAGTAGGAAATACATATGTATACTTATTATAACTTTTGCTTTTTTTTTTATTTTTTTCTTAATAAATAGAATTATTAATTTAAAAATTAATTTAAAAATTAATAATTCTTTAAATTAATTTAAAAATTTATAAAAATAAGATTTTAAAATATTGGCAAAGAAAAATAAATTATATTCATATATATTTATGTTGAAATATGTAAATTTATACAATAAATTAATGTTCAACAAAATATTACATAATTCATAACTATTATTTAAATATTAATTAATTTCTTATTCCATTAACATAACATTATTTTTATTAATTACATTTTAAGGAACAAAAAATAATAAATGCAAATTTAAATAGACCGCGTTTCTCATTACATGTGTGATTCTTACTCGACGATCAATGATCCTTGCCACGCCATTATAAATATTGAATACATTCATAAAATCAATGATTTACTATTTTTATTTATAACTTTGTACATTATATTTGTTTGAAAATTTAATTTTGACAATAATATTATAGGTGAATAAAAAGAACCATTGAATCATACATATAGTGATAATATTTGAAATTTTCAAAGATAATTTTTCGAGCAGTAGTTATCAAAACATAGTGACTACATAACTTGTCGAATGTAAAAAGAAAGCTACTCAACAGAAGATAGTTGGAAGGTGCATATGATAGATGACAGTATTAAGCAATATCCATGCACATAAGCGGTTACGTACGAAAACCGGTTCTCCTGAATCGTTACACTTGAAAGGATAGTTCCGAATGGTCAAAACGGCACAAGGTGAAAGTAGAATGATAAAAAGAAAATTTGAAGTTTATAAAACAAGAATTACCCGTTGAAGTATCCGGGTAGCACGTGTAACGTGAGAAAGAGATGCATGTACCGTTTGATCATAATTTCTTATATTCTCTTATATTCGGTATGGACTATTGGCTAACCTAATTCGTAAAACTGATCGTATTTTTCGATCACATATTTGACGTGAACATAACTACGGAAAATAAACACATATCGTGGTATGTTCATCGTCGCTTAATCGTTTCATCACAAAGATTAAGGAAATATAAAAAATAGTTTATTACTAAATTATTTATAATGGCTGTGTCTAACAAGTGGGAGAATGCTTGTAGATTATGTTCAGAAGAGAAGAATGAAATGTTATCAATTTTTGGTAATGAAGGTGTACAACGTAAAGTAGCACAAAAATTACGTGCTTGTTTGCCAGTCTTAGTATACAAAACCGATCCACTGCCAAAGCAAATATGTCAGTTCTGTGCCGCAAGGCTGGATGATGTTTATGAGTTCAGAGAATATTGTTTGAGTGTTTACAAAAGTATGTATTTGAAATTATTAGCATATAAGGATATTGAATCTGTTCAAATTTATTTAGAAGCAATGAAAAATTCTCCTGATCCTTGTCAGGTATCTAATTTTCTAATAATTAATTTATATTGTGTGATATTATTTACTTTTATATTTTTTGAATAAATAATATTATGATTTTTAGGCTCAATTATGGAGAGAAAAGGCTAGAGCACCACCACCTTTGGTACCTTTGCCAGTTTCACTGCCAATTGAAAGTCCATCAATGTCAATAGATATTAATCAAGAGCATCAAAATAGTTGCATAGAATCATTACCTGAATTACCATGTGAAGTAGAGATTAAAGAAATGACTACAGAATCAATAGAAACAGATATCAGTACATATGAATCATCACATAAAAACTGTATAGAAAATGAGTTATATGATAAATTAAATATAATAGTAAATCATAATACAAGTTTATTAAAAAATGAAAATAATGTCTCAAGACAAAAAATAAAGGAGGAAGAAAAAAGAACTAGTATTTTAGAACAAGTACTGACAGGTAGTTTAACAATGAATGACAGAAAAGATTTAAACTCAGAAACAAAATTATCTTCTAAATGGTGGTGTACTCCTTGTAATAGTTACTATAAGTAAGTTTTTGATAATTATAATGTATCATATCCACAGTTTTATAATTAGTAATTATTTATTATAGAACAAAGGAAAGCTTAATGAAACATATGCAGTTACACTGTCCAAGAAAATATAACTGTAGAAAATGTTCTGCTTGCTTTGAATTGGTAGAAGACTTAGCTAAACATGAAGCTACTAATCACTTGAAAGTAACATTAGACTTTGATAGAAGTGTTATAGATTGTGATCAATGTGATAGACAATTTGTGAGCTGGGAAATGTTAAAGAAACACAGATTACGTGATCATTTAACTCAAATAAATGAAATTGGGACCAATACATGGTGCTCCTTATGTAATAGGTTGTTTATATTTTTTATTAATGTTTGTTTTTTATCATTTTAATTTTTTTAACTTTTAATATTCTATATATATTTAATATACTTAATTTTTTTATAGATTTTTCCCAAGTACAGAAGCCTATCAAAGTCACATTCAATTGCATGAAGTCAGTAATTCAACAAAAATATTGCAATTAACAAATCAGCAATCAATGAAAATTCTCAAAAACGAAGAATCTTCAAAAGAAATGAAAAAAGAACATTTTACAGATACCACTAAATCACTTACATGTCCTACTTGTGGAAAAGTAATAATTTTATATATATTTTATAAAAAAAAATTAATTATAATTAATAATTTTTAAATTTTTATATAAATTTTTCTTCATTTTTATCTAGATTTGTACTCAACAAAGTGCATTATCAAATCACATGCGTACTCACGAACCAAAAAGACATAAATGTGATATATGCGGTCGATCTTTTGGACTTTTTATACGTTTAGCAGCACATAGAATGAGCGAACATAGTCAAGAACCCACAGTATCACTTGTAATGACCAGTGTTGAACAAGAAGAAGCATTAAATGCTGAAAGGGAAGCTAAAGAAGCGAAAGAAGCCAGAACTCGTGCAAAAACTAGAACATATTCAGAGGTTGATTTATATCTATTTATTGTATATTATTTAAAAATATTATAATAAAAATAAAATATAATTTTCAGATGATGGAAGATATTCCTAATCATGAAGATTTACCATCGAAAAGAAATGTTCCATTAAATACTAATGCATTTAAAAATGTTGCAAGATGTGGTATATGTTTACAATGGTTCAGTGATCATACTACAATGTTAACGCATTTACGAACACATTCAGATAATTATACTTGTAAAAATTTCACTTGTCACATATGTAAAAAATCTTTCAAAGAAAAATGGCAACTATTTAGACATGAGGTATACATTTATCATTTTTAAAATGATATTTTTTGATATATATTTGAATATTTTTTTATCTTAATAATAGGTATCTCATAAACGAAATGAATCGACATCAATGTACATATGCACAGTATGTAACAAATCATTTGTAGACAAAAATATATATAAAACGCATCAAAAATCTCACATTATTGATAAAACATATCATTGTTCAAAATGTAATAAAATATTTTTCAAAGAAGTATCTCTATTAACACATCAATGTTCGGCAGAAACTGTGCTCAGTAAGAAAGGTGTTTCCTCAAAGACTTCACAAAAATCTATGTCAGTTAGTAACAGCAAAAAATATAAATGTTCCAAGTGTAATGCCTCTTTCAGTAGTTTTCAATCTAAAAACTCTCATATGAGAATACACATGGAAAGTTCATATACAATGGTAACTAATCGAGAACTACTTTTACACAAATTTTTATACATTCAACATATTTTAAAATTCTATTATTCTTTCTATTATTCTCATAGGTGCGAAAACAAGATTTAAAGAAAGAGTCAAAAGAAGAAGAAAAAGAAGAAGAAGAAGAAGAAGCTATGCCAAAATTAATTCCTGAAACGTCATTGGAATATTCCATATCTCCTATTGAACCGAAAATAGAAATAAATGAAGAAAGTGCACCACCTCCGATTAAACGAACCTTAATCAAGACAATGGGCGGTAGGATTTAAATTTATATTAAAAATAATTGAATTTTTTAAAAAAAATGTATAAAATATTAATATTTATGATATTTAGGTATCGATGTGGAGTGTGTCAATCTCCATTTGTTTTAAGAGAATTAGCTGTTGCACATTTAAGATCTGCACATCCTCTGATGCCATATCAATGTCCTTATTGTAAAAAACGATTTACTACGCAATATACATTCACGCATCATATTAAAACAGATCATCCTGACGAACACGAGAATTGAATTGTACAAGTTAAAATGCCAAATGGTTATTATACCATAAAATAATGCCTTTGAGAAGGGTAACTTTTGTTTATATAGAAGTTATATATAATTATATATATTAACATAAATATTAACAGTTATCGGTTTTATGCTGAAACTGAATTATTTGATAATCTGGCACATTAGTTCCTGAATAAAATAATTGGCCTTAAATAAAAGTTTTGTAATTCTGTTTCATGAAAAATAAAAAAAATAATATATATATATATATAGTATATTTATAAATAAATATAGATTGTGTTGAAATATAATTTTTGATAATGAAGCATCATTTATTAATAGGAGACTGGATTAGAACTAGTACTTATACTGAACGTGCCTATTTAAGTACTGTATTATGAATTTTTAGTCAAATTGATTTATAAATGCCGAAGAAATATATTATCAAATTAGATATTGTATATATTGTTCATTAGTGACAGTTTCACAAAGTTGTATAAAAATGTTATCTTCTTTATATAATTTGTTAGCATTGACAGACATTCCTTTTTTTTCTTTTTTTTTTTAAATAAGAAAATTTTTGAAATTCTAAGAAATGCTTGTTTGTTCTTTTCTTATCATTTTATAATTACAGAATTTTTTTTGTAAATTTAACAAATAAAAGCAAACAAGTAAATATATATTGTTACTGTAAATAATTACCGTTTTATTTTATATGTATAAAATTTATATTAAAATCACTACCAACAGAAAGCTTTGTACGCTTATTAAATAAACTTTTATTATAGAAAATAATTCTATATAAAGCCGAATAATTTACCTTTTTGTTATTCAAAAAATTTATTTAATTTTATTAAAACGTTATATTTATAAAATTTTAATTTCGGACTTTTTTTATTTTGCTTATTACTATTTAATATAAAATATACCAATGTAAACCTCGCTTTTAATACACATAAATGATGTCAGGCAAATAATGAAAAAAAATTTTTTTAGTACATTATTATTAATGCATTATCAATAAATTTACAAACATATCTAATGTAGGTAAAAAGATAGTACATGATATTAGCAATAGATAGCGCGGTTACTATACGTCTATTATACCCATGTATTAAATAAATATTAAGATTTTAATAGATGATATTTTATAATGCGATATATTTTGTAAATAACTAGTTAAAAATTTTTTATAAATAATCAAAATTTGTATTAAAAATTGTTGTGTTTTTATTTAATACATGAAAAATAAAAATTTTATTAACATCTTCAGTGTCTGACTATATTAACTATGTACTACTAAAGGCTGCACAATTATAAATAACTTTTACCATTGATCAAATTATATGTAATTATATGCAATTTATAGTCTTGTCGTCAATTTAACATTTCAAATGCAAATATATAATAATTTTATATTATATAGCATTAACTGCAAAACAAAACTGTAATTATTGGTATTAAAATTTGTTGTTATATAATTTAAAAATTTTTGTTTAATAAATATAACTAGAAAATATTATAAAATAATTTATTTATTTTAATTAATTATTATTTATTTATTATTGTAAAAAAATAGTAAAAATTATACAAATATAAAATTTGAAATAATTTTTTTTATTAAAAAAAAAAAAATCAAAGAAAAAAACAACAGCCTAAAATTCTTACATAATATATATGATGAACAAAAAATAAATTGCAATCGTAAATCTTCAAATATTTTCCGTGAATTAATTAATTATTTCATTGATAATTATAAGTTAAAAAAAATAAATAATCGAAAAATTATATATCTTAATGATAAAAATTGGTTCCCAATTAATAGGGTACGGTGGTGAACAACGGATGGACGTAAAGCGCATGGAAAAACCAGAGGGGGCAGATCTGCCGCATAGCCGACGGAAACTCTGATTCTCATCAGACGCGACGCGTCCGCGATCACGTAAGGTGTACCACACAAGAGATCAGAAGATTCGTACACGTTCGTTCAGTCATTTCGGACGTGAGAAAGGAGAAGACAAGATCTGTCGATTAAACACTGCCATCAAATAAAATTCCCTTCAATTTGTTCTCGAGTTATCTTTTTATCATTGTTCGATTCTCAAGGTGAATCTATTTTATAAAAAAATTGAAAATATTTAATCGAATCTGTCGCGTGCAAATTTTCCATGCAGCGAGGGTGGAGACAACACGTCCGAAGTGACTGACTGCAACGTGATTAGTTGAAACACATGGTCCGGTGATCGTGATCATGATTGCAAATCGTCTCTCGCTGATCGTCACCCTCGTCTTCGTGGTACTGCTGTCGACTATTCATTCCGGTGAGTGCAATATTTGGCGCCTTTCTTCCTATTGAAACTATTCATTCATTTTAAAACGATTGTCATCGATTAATCGATACGTTGAATTTTGTCAATTTGAAACTATGTTCACATATTAAAAGAAACTAATCTATATGTATACATATGAGATAATAAATCGTATTGTTTCTATTCTGTTTTAATTTCAACTCATTGATCAAATCAATGAGTTTTTCAACTTCAATTGATAAGAATCACTAAGAAATCCTTTTTTTTCTTTTTTTATCGTGACTTATTCTTCAAATCAGACGAATATATACATGTTTAAAAAATGTTAGGTTATTTTTCATCGATTATTTTTCAATATCTCTATAGAATATAACATTTCGTTGCATTAATGTTAATAAAATTCTTTTAACAAGAAATTTAAATTATAAAATATATTTCATATATTCTTTTTATATTTTTTCATTTTTTTTATAAACTCTTATAAATAAAAATAAAAATCAATTGAATAACATTTTTAAAAATTGTGAACAATGAAAATTTGTGAAAATTATAAAATAATGAATAAAAACATTAAATTTGAAAAGAACATTGCAGCATATAGTATATTGCAGCGCAATGCAGTAATTGATAGAAAAAGTATAACTATATATATATATATATATATATATATA